TATTAAGAAAGCAATATTTTCCTGGCAAAACGGGGGAGAAAGTCCCGAGGAATAAAAACAGTGCTGTGTGACTTTGCGTGAGCTCACCAAACATCAGTGTTACTGTGAAATGACGGGATCTCATCAACAGGAGTCTGGAAAGACCCAGTACCTTTTTGTCAACGTGTTTCTTGCTCCTTTTTCAGTAAATGGACTCCCAAGCATGAGCATGTTGAAGTGGGAAATTCCCTGGATCAGAGCACCAAAAACTGTTGTCTTATTCTGTGGTAGTTTAAGCAGGGCAGACAGGATTTGCAAAACTGAAAGATTGCTGAGCAGCTTCTGCCAACTTGTCTTTCCTCAGCACATGATGATCTGTGGAGTCACTCCTGACGCTTCAGGAGAGCTAAAATGGTGCTCTGGAGTCTGAGCTGCTTAGCTCAGAGGTTAGAGCAGGGCAGTGGGAGTTAGGAGTCCTGTAACTCTTTGAAGGCAAGTCACTAACCACCCTCCAGTCACCTTTAATCCCTGGTCAGAAATGCAACTTAATGTTGTTATTAGTGTTTATAAAAACTCTGTGGATTGTGGATGCAAACTCCTCTGTAAATGCACATTCTTATTATCCACTGTAATCTGATTTCCAAAAGATGTATAAAGGCAGCTCTTTGGCCACCATTCTGGCTGCCTCCTGTTGTTGAAAGCTATGTCATGAAGTTGTGGGAGTCGCCTGCACTCAATTCTCCTCTTTTCTGGAGTTCATGTTTGGCAGCAGAAGCAGGCAGAAGCTGTGCTTCTGCTCAGCTGGATCCAAAGGATCACTGCTTTTGGTACTGGTTTTGTATTGCCCGCTTTCAGAGCTGTCTCCAGGGATTAAATTCTCCCTCTTCTACACACAGCCAAGTGTTAGCACCCACATTTTGCAGGTAGGAAACGATTGGTGTGTTGTCCAAAGTCAGAGACTTTCTGACTTTTGGGTCAGGTATAGTGTAAGGGCTCAGGCATTTATGGCACCAAGAACTAACCTTTCTCCATCACCATAGATTTTTAGTAGAAGTCAGCCTTGCTGGAGGCCTCACAAAGAGGACAGGAATTCAGATTTTTCATCTTTTACATTGTGATGAGTAGGGTGCAAATTATCTCAAAGCAACGTGGCAAATGGTTCTGTTCTCTTCTTGGTGCAGATGAGATACAGCTCCACTGTTATCCACAGGTGTTCAGGAACTGGTGAAAGCAGATACCTGCTGATGTTAGCCTTTATTAGAGAAAACAATACAAATACATACATTCATCCATGGAAATCATATCTTTATTTGAGAGTGGGCCTGGAGAATTACAGTTTTTGTAAATAAAAAGTTTTTTCTGTGTTTGAGTGAGAAAAAGAGAAACTGGAGAGAAGAGATTAAATCAGAATTTAAAGATTGATTGTATCTAGAGTTCAAAATCCTACAGAGTGTGACTGATATCAGTTTTCTCCTACTGTGGGTAATTCTGGTGATTCCTCAGGGAACAACTCACAGCAGCAAAACTAAGCATGGTCTAGAGGGCTGGAAACCACCTCTCAGATTCTGTCTGCTCCCCACGCTATGAAGCAACGAGTCCCACCAGGAAGGTAGTTTCGGGGGCTGTGACCAGTTCACAAGACGTTGTGGGCTGCTTGGCAGGTGATTTGCCTTTGAGATTCCAGTTCACTGCTGACTTGCCAGTGGTTTGAGAGCTGCGCACCTAAAGCTGCGTATTGGAAGAATACCCTTATCAGGCAATCGGAGCAACTTACTCCAATGTGTTTTGTGAAATGCTGATATTCTCAAAGAAATGTCCTTGCCAGGAAAGAAGGTGCTGTTCATGTGAACTTGTTAAGAAATCTAAACTTGATTCCGTAATCTTTATGTTGCTTATATGTAATATTTTGAAAGTGTATGTAATTATATGCTTTGTAAGGTGCTGCATGCATCATCGTGTATGTAGAAAACTTCAATAAAAACATTTTGCTTTACAATCTTTGTATGGACGATTGCAAGTTATTTAATTATTTGTCCAACAATACTAGTTTTAAAGTCAGTGGAACTATTGTGCCTTCAAGAGAATATTCTTCTAATGGAAGTAGGTTTCTTGGGGAAGGACCACTTTATTATCCACTGATCAGCTTTTGGGCTTCTTCCCCCGCCCCCTACCCCCACT